CTTTTAGCCATTAAAATTTAATCATTATAAAATAAAATAAAAATTTAATAGTTGGGGGTGTAATAAAAGTCCCTTCCTTTATTGTTGTGGCGGCCATGCTGTCCCGTTAAATAGCTCCGGAGGTATTTTTTCCGCATCAGAAGCTTCCTGTATTTGGATAAAACACGATAACGCGAGCACATGCATCTCGCAAGATCGCTCTGTGTGTTTTCACTATGTCGTCTTTCAAACAGCCAAAAATGACAGCAGATTGAGCAGTACCCATCCCCTATCAGTTTAACAGAGACACAGAGGTAGCAAGAACACACCCTAGGAAAGGCTCACCGTAAATCCTTAGGAGAAAGCAATAAAACAACAGTGAGGTAGCATGACAAAGTCTTAAAAAGTGTCTAAATAAAAAACGACTCACCAAACCAAGTATTCTCTAATATGAGAAGGAATTGAATCCCTCATATGCTGCTGGAAAATGCACACAGGCCAATCACTACTTGCAAATATCTATATGTTAAACCAGTGGTTCCCAAACTTATTTGGCCTACCGCCCCCTTTCCAGAAAAAATATTACTCAGCCCCTGGAAATTAATTTTTTAAAAATTTTAATAGCAGTTACTCATCGCCCCCAAATGCACCTGTGGCCATCACCGCATCCCTGGATCGCTGCAGCGCCCACCGGGGGGCGGTAGCGCCCACTTTGGGAATCACTGTGTTAAACCTTCACCTGACTGACGACTCAAAACTATGTACAAGTTATTGACAAGGATAAATGAAACATATCCTCATAAAGAGTTATCTGATCATGCACTAAGCCCTTGCTTTGTAGTCTTCTGCATTTTCCTGGTCTCCTGTCATGGGGGTTCTTGGGTTGGAACAGGTCTCTCAGGAGGACCAGTTGGCATCAGGGTGGGCAGGGTGTTTTAGAGTCTCAAAAATGTTTGTAGCAGTTTAAATAAAGTCAAAAATTAGAAATAAGCATAGCAAATGAAGAAAGCACGCTAAATTCAGAGATAAAAACATTTCTCCCCCAAAAAGGTGAGCTACTAATATAGCATTAATAAATCTCTAAACATTTATGCAATGTAAAGAGCAGAAAAATATACCCAGATTCCCATCATCTAAAGTTCAGAAATTGCAGTTATCTATTAAGATGGAATGTAAATTAGTGGTTCCGTGAAAAGCTATGAAGGGCAGAGAGATTCAAAAAGAACACGCAGTGAATGCATATGTGGACTCCTCAGATATTACACTTGACATTTCAGTTATTAATAAAACCATTTTAAAATTGGTTCAAGATAAAAGAAATTTGCATGTCCCTTTTTTTTTTTTTTGAAAAAACAGATTTGAAAACGTGATATTAAATCCCTGTTCTCATGCCCAGTTAAAGAGGCTTGCCTCAGTGACAGCAAACAGAGCAAACAATGAAGGGCTTTCACCCAAACCAACAGGAATGCTCCCTGATTCACAAGTCACATCCTGGCCTAGAGATACCCCTTTTTTACAAATAGATTTTTATTGATTCCAGAGAGGGAGAGGGAGAATAGAAACATCAATGGTGAGAATCACTAATCAATTGCCTCCTGCATGGCTCCTACTAGGGATCAAGCCCACAACCTAAGCATGTGCCTTGAGCAGGAATCGAACCTAGGACCCTCAGTCCACAGGCCGATGCTCTATCTATTGAACCAAACCGGCCAGGACACCCTTTTTCATTATCATTCTTTTTTCGTTTTTAAATATATTTTATTAATTTTTTTACAGAGAGAAAGGGAGGATAGAGAGGAACTTCAATGAAACATCTATCAGCTGCTTCCTACACACTCACAACCAAGGTACATGCCATTGACCTGAATCGAACCTGGGACCTTTCAGTCCTCAGGCCGACGCTCTATCCACTGAGCCAAACCGGTTAGGACAGCGGTTCTCAACCTGTGGGTCGTGACCCTTTCACAGGGGTCACCTAAGACCATTGGAAAACACATATATAACTACATATTGTTTTTGTGATGAATCACTATGCTTTAATTATGTTCAATTTGTAACAATGAAACTGGGGGTCACCACAACATGAGGAACTGTATTGAAGGGTTGCTGCATTAGGAAAGTTGAGAACCACTGGGTTAGGGCTTTATCATTCTTTTTGTGCCAAGGCACCAATGGCTCTGACTTGAACATCTGAGATGCCACAGAAGATACTAGTAAACATGTGGCGATCCTCAGATCTGTGTACATGCCCCCCTGCAGTGTTTTCCTCAGAACAGTTCTGAATGCACATTTCTAAGAGGATCATTATATCTAGCTGGCAGTAATCTTTTCCAACACCATGTAGGCCAGTGGTTCTGTAGCAATCATGGCTCCCCTCATCCCTATGGTCCTCCAACCGGTGATAGGCATTAGGGCGAAGAACCGTTTGTTTGTAAGACCTAGACAAGAGATCTCCCCCCAAAAAATAGAAAATAATTCATGTTCCTTCCAGAAGGATCTGAGGTTGGCACAGCTAGCCACTCTTTGGAGTGATCTCCTGAAACTCTCCTAAAACTCATAGCATCAGGCTTAATATGAGGGCTGGGAAAATAGGACAGTAATGAAAATCTGGCCTAAACTGTTGAGCTAATTTCTGCACCCTGTATTCCTCCCATAGGCAGAGAAAGTTTGAGATACCCATTAAATTGTTCACCTCCTGATGCTTGTAGAACCCAAATCTGCTTATAAACTCCCACAGACAGTAAATAGAACACCTAAGTTAAAGAAGACTTAGAAAGTCCTTCAATATTTTACAAACCAAAGGGACAAGAGCTTGGCAGTTCTTGCATCCATGACTTAGCCACTCAAAAAAAAATCTGTCACTGTTACCTAGAAAAAGCCTGTTCCTGGGAAAGGTAGTTGTTCTATAAGCTGCTCGCTGAACTCAGGTAATGTTCTCTGGGGACCGCAAGTCAGATCCATATGGCAACTAGTCAGAGTGAAAGGAAATAAGAACTCGTACAAGCTCAGGCTGTTCCCAATTTTCTCAAACCAGAGAACAGAGTTAGCTTTCTTGAGCACATGAGGATGGTGACCTATGCAATCTGTGAAAGCCATATAGGTGGATCAGGTGAAATAGCTTCATCAACCAGAATATGTAATGAGATATACAGTGTGGCTCTGGACCTATAAAACAGGTCATGATTCCATTTCGAGTCAGGACACATGCCCAGGTTGTAGGCTCAATCTCCAGTTGGGGATGTGCAGGGCACAGTCAATCAATGATTCTCTCTCATCATTGATGCTTTGATCTCTCTTTCCCTCTCCCTTTCTCTCTGAAATCATTAAAAATATATTTTAAGCCCTAACCTGGGACTGCGGACTGAAGGGTCCCGGGTTCGATTCCGGCCAAGGGCGTGTGCCTTGGTTGCGGGCACATCCCCAGTAGGAAGTGTGCAGGAAGCAGCTGATCGATGTTTCTAGCTCTCTATCCATCTCCTTCCCTCTCTGTGAAAAATCAATAAAATATATTTAAAATATATATATATGTATTTTTAAAAAAGAAAAATATAAATATGTTTAAAGAAAAAAAATCATTGACAGTGGTTGTTAACCTGGTGATAGGACATAGGTGTAGAAGAAAAACAACAACAATGTAGTGATATAGATCTGGAAGACAACTGTGTAAATAACAAATTTTAACATATGTGTGGCTCAGTGGGATCCCATTTAAAGTACATGCCGAGATTGCACGTTCAACCCCCAGTAGAGGATGTGCAGGAGCAAGCTTATTGATGATTATGTGTTGTCATCAATGTTTCCATTTCTTTCTCCCTCAACCTTCCTCTCTGAAATTAATAAAAACTTTAAAAAATAAGTGCAAAATACACACACATGATTTTCACAGCACTCAAATTTATTGGGAATCTCCCTATTCTTGATGTTGCAGTGTATGAGATTCAGTTCAGACAAATAGGGCTTTATGGAGTTTCTTATAGTATTATTAGGGGTGAACAAAAAAAAAAAAAATCTACATTTCCTGAATATCCAAGACCTTCCTCCAATGTGAATTCTTATGTGGGGAGTAGGGTTAGAATTTTGGATAAAAGATTTCCCATATTAACTACACTCTAGTTAATGGGGGGCAGGCCTTTCTCTAGTGTGAATTTTCTGATGACAACTAAGGCAATACTTGGTGGTAAAAGACTTCCCACACTCACTGCACACATAAGGCTTTTCTCCAGTGTGAACTCTCAGATGACGACGGAAGGTACTACCACTGATAAAAGATTTTCCACATTCACTGCACTCATAAGGCCTTATTCCAGTGTGAATTTTCTGATGACGACGGAAAGCACTACTACTGGTAAAAGATTTTCCACATTCATTGCACTCAAAAGGCCTTTCTCCAGTGTGAACTCCCATTTGATGGTAACGGAGGCTACTTCCACAGGTAAAGGATTTTCCACATTCACTGCACACATGAGGCTTTTCCCCAGTGTGAATTCTCTCATGCCGATGAAGGACATTTCTCCGAGTAAACGATTTCCCACATTCACTGCACTTATAAGGCTTTTCTCCAGTGTGAATTCTCTGATGACAATGAAAGGCATATTTCTGAATAAATGATTTCCCACATTCCCTGCACTCATAAGCCCAGTCTCCAGTGTGAATTCTCTGGTGATAATGAAGCTGATAGATACTGTTAAAAGATTTCTCACATTCATTGCACTTATGCCTTTCTCCAATGTGCACTCTCTGATGATAATGGAAGCCACTACTACTGACAAAAGATTGCCCACATTCATTGCACTCATAAGGCCTTTCTCCTGTGTGAAATCCCATCTGATGGTAACGGAGGGTTTTTTCATAGGCAAAAGCTTTCCCACATTCACCACACTTATAAGGCCTTTCTCCAGTGTGAACTCTCTGATGAGAACGAAGATAATAAATACTCTTAAAAGATTTCTCACATTCATTGCACTTATAAGGCCTTTCTCCAGTGTGAATTCTCTGATGACGATGGAAATCATTACTACTGGTAAAAGATTTCCCACATTCATTGCACTTATAAGGCCTTTCTCCAGTGTGAACTCTCTGATGACAACGAAAGGCATATTTCTGAATAAATGATTTCCCACATTCACTGCACACATAAGGCCTTTCTCCAATGTGAACTCTCTGATGATAACGAAGATAATAGGTAGTCTTAAAAGATTTCTCACATTCATTGCACTTATAAGGCCTTTCTCCAGTGTGAACTCTCCGATGGCGACGAAGGGTATATTTCTGAATAAAAGATTGTCCACATTCATTGCACTCATAAGGCCTTTCTCTAGTGTGAACTCTCTGGTGGCGATGAAGGTAAAAGATCCTGGTAAAAGATTTTCCACATTCAATGCATTGATAAGGCCTTTCACCTTTGTGACATCTCTGATGAGAAAGGAGGCCAGTACTACTGGTAAAAGATTTCCCACATTCACTGTGCTCATAAAGCTTCTTTTCTGCATGAGATCTCTGATGGTAACAAAAAGTAGAAAATCGGGCAAAATATTTTCCACATTCACGGCAACAAAAATACGTTTTGCCAGTAGGGACACCCTTGTCCCAAACACACGTGTAGTTATAGCCAATGGTTTTCTTACATTCTTTTGTAGTAAAATAATTATTTTTCCCTTGATATGTCACCCCATACATTGAGATACCACTTGGCTTGTCAATGATCTGAGTATCCTTTTGCTGGAAATGGCCTGCCATGCTAAGGACGTCCTGCCCCACCTCTCCACAGGTAAAAAGCTTCTGAGACACACTGAAATTGCACCCCTTTTCAAGTGAGACCCTGTTCACCCCTCTTATCAAAGGCTTCTCTCTCAAGTGCTGCTGCTGGTGCTGGTGAAACTGTGCACTGAAATAAAATTGTTTTGCACATGCCCCACACCTCAACAGTATCTGCCTGTGTTGTAATGCCTGCTGATGAGTCAAGCGGAAAATGTTTCTCAAAACTAGTCCACAACTCTCACAGGGGTGGCTCTTCTGGGAAGACAAAGCTAACTTGGGATTCACTGCCTGTGACACTCTTACAGCAATGTTCTCTTCAAAAGGTGCCTCCACATTCTCTGCTCCACAGCAGCAACCTAAATAAAAGGAAATGCAGGTGAAGTACATGATGATTTTGGAAGGAAAAAAATACCCTCATCTCAACTGTCTGTCACAGCCAGGCATGATTGCATGGAATGCTTTTTAAGACCCGTGAGTTAGACTCTGAGGAAATGGCTGTTATACATTACTTGACTCCTAAGGTCACTCAATGGTGGAGACCTTACCAAGGGAGGGGCAGGAACATATGATGGGACACAAACAAGAGAGGCAGGGCCCACTAGTTGTTCCTTTACAAACAGTTTCCTGTAGGACCATTCCAACTGATCACGCAGTCTGTGTAGAACAATGTGAATGTGCTCGAACATATTAAAACCCATTGCATTCCAGCACATGATATGTATGGTTAATATAATATGTGACACACCGAGGCTCTAAGGGCATGGACCGAGGTTGGATTGCAGTAAAGAGGAACCTGTATGGAGAGCAGCTGAGGTACAAAGTGTAGAGAGGGAAAGATTATCCATAAGCTAGAAACCTAAGTGATTGTAACAGTTATAATTGAGTAGTTTAGCTATAGATCGTGTGGCTCAGTTGGTTGAGCATCATCCTTCCCATGGAAAGGTTGCCAGATAGAATCCCTGTCTGGGTACCTGCCCAGGTTCCAGGTTCAACCGTCATTTGGGCTGCAAACAGGAGGCAAACAATCAATGTTTCTTTCTCCTCCCCCCCCCCCGCCCCCCCGCACTCTTCCTCTGTGTCTAAAATAAAATTTCTTTTTTTTAAAAAAGAACTGAGTAGTTTGTAAAGTGTCAATAATAAACAAGCAAAAGTAGAATGGGGTACAGAACTGGCAATGGTAGCGAAACAATATTGAACAAAATAAGTTCTTATAACCTTAATAAAGCTCTCGTGTCAAACTCTTTGCAACAACCTTTCACCAAGGCAAGACGGCCACTGGGTCCACCCTGCCGTGGATGTAGTCCGCTTCCTCCTATAATGCACAACTGATTCTTCCCCTTAAATCCTAGTTGAGCAATTCCATTGGATACAGATGACAGATATCCTAAAAAAAAATCTGAAAAGATGCATGGCCAGTATTGTGGTAGAACAAGAGAGCACGGAAGAAACCAGAGAAAAAAAACACAGCAAAGCAGAATAATAAAAAAACAAAACTATGCGAGTGACACCAGCAATATAGCAAAGTAGAAGATAGAATTTATCTCCCTGCCAGAATAAGTAGATAGGTATCCGCAAACAAACAAATTAACACCCACCAGAGATGGGAATAAGAGCTTAATAAAGACAAAGAGCAATGCAAAAGAGCAAAGAAGGAGAGAACTGCATAGAAAGAATGACTGGGAAGATGGGTAATCAAATATATTTGAAGATAGCTAGGGTTAAAAACCACAGCCAGAGTAACAATACCCAATGAGTGGAATGTTCTGTGAAATACACTGCAAAGTTTTGTTTTGAAAAACTGCAAAAGCCCATATATCATCTGTGAACTCCGTAAAATTTACACATTAAAGGAAGATTTAGTGTTTGCTGGCATGAATTATCAAAGAAATACTTTTGGCCACAACCTACTATAGAATAGAAACAGAAATCAGTATGTCCCCAGCAATATATTTCACCCTCAATTGTCCATGAAAAAAATGGCTACCAAAGTCATTGTGGACTCATATGTTATCTATACTCTATACTAATAAAAGGGTAATATGCTAATTAGACCAGACATCTTCTGGACATCCTTCTGGGTATCTTTCTGGAAAAAGCCACAATGGTGGGGGCCGAGGCAGAGGCGGTTAGGGGCGACCAGGCTGGCAGGGTTGGGCAGTAGGGGTGACCAGGCTGACAGAGGAGGGCAGTTAGGGGCAACCAGACAGGCAGATAGGTGAGTGGTTAGGAGCCAGCGGTCCCAGATTAGGAGAGGGATGTCAGACAGTCGAACATCCCCTGAGGGATCCAGGAATGAAGATGGTATAGGCTGGGCTGAGGAACATCCCCTCCAACCCCCCATGCACGATTTTCATGCACTGGGCCTATAGATTATTATTATGACCTCAACTCATAGAGCATGAAGAAGGCAAGACTGCCGAAACCGGTTTGGCTCTGTGGATAGAGAGTTGGCCTGTGGACTGAAAAATCCCGGGTTCGATTCCGGTCAAGGGCATGTACCTGGGTTGTGGGCACATCCCCAGTGGGAGATGTGCAGGAGGCAGCTGATCGATGTTTCTCTCTCATCGATGTTTCTAACTCTCTATCTCTCCCCCTTCCTCTCTGTAAAAAATCAATAAAATATTAAAAAAAAAAAAAGGCAAGACTTTTGAATCTTTTCTCAAGATCAAAATAACACCCCTACCAGGCAGTACCCTTTATCACTCATGCAGATAAATCTATTTTTCAAGGCCACAATTGGTCCATAAAGGTGAAAGGATTAAAGGAGTAACTGCTTTATGAAATGTGAAGACACTTAATACAATAAAAGAAATATCAAAGGGAAGAGAAAATGGCAATAGAGTAAGTGGAAGGCACACTGACAAGTTCCCAAGACCAAGCTGGTAAGACAACTAAAATGCAGGACAACCATCCTGAAAAATCAACTGAGCACTAGCTGGAGAGAACCCTGGTAACACAGAACGGGAAATGGGGACTGCATACAGACTGGTAAGCAGTGCGGAAGCATGAAATTATTGGCTGGGTTCCCTAGACTCTGTGTCTGACCCCCAAGCAGAGATCCCAAGCCCAGAGCACAAGAACTGAGGGGGGTGCCCACAAAACATATGGCTATAAAAGCGGCAGGGCTGCAGTCTGCCAGAGAGATGGCTGGAAATGCAGGCACCCTCTTAAGTGTAAAAAATTTCCTGTGCATCCACTCACTATGGGCTCTGGCAGACAGAGGGCAGAGTAGACTGGAACTGTATGGGGAGAGTCCAGGACTGGGGTCTCTGGGGTTGGAGCTCTGAGGGCAGCCACCCTAGTATCCTGTGCTAAGTCATTTCCTCATGATGTGAAGGACATCTTTCTGCTGTGGACCTTTGCCATCCAGGCAGTTTTTGCCTGGGGGAAGCCAACTGTCACACCCTGTTGGAACACCTCTCACTCCACCCTGCAGTCAATAGCCTGAGGGTAATCAAGGCTGAGAACAATCAGACTGCAGGCTGAGGTGGGTCCTGGAGGCTTTGAGTCTTTGCCTGATCTCCTTCTGGGCCCAGGGATAGGAAAAGCAGACCTTGGTGCGCATCTTGGTCCTTTCCAAAGGAACCTGCCACAGTAGAGGGATCCAAAAGCTACGGATTGCTGATAGCTCCAAACCGGGTACACAGTTCCAATCACAAGCAGTGTCTGACATTGTCCTACTCTAGAGATCAGAAGTGTAGCAGATCTATCCAAATGCAAACAGGCAGCCAAAATGGGAAAACAAAAACGCAACTCCCCCAAGAAAGAACAAGAGAATTCTCCTGAAGAGCTATCATTCAAAATAGATGGTGAATAAAAAACTTTCCATACAAAAAAAAAAAAAAAAAAAAAGGCTGCCCTGACAGGTTTGGCTCAATGGATAGTGTCGATGTGCGGACTGAAGGGTACCGGGTTCGATTCCAGTCAAGAGCACATGCCCGGGTTGCAGGCTGGATCCCGAGTAGGGGGCGATCAGGATGCAGCCAATCAATGATCCTCTTTCATCATTGATGTTTCTAGCTCTCTCTTCCTCTCCCTTCCTCTCTGAAATAAATAAAAATATATATTTTAAAAAAATATTTAACCCTACCACTTGAAGAACGAGAAAGAGAGGAACAAGAAAAGCCCAAAGTAGAAGGGAGGAATAATAAAGATTAGAGGAGATGTGCTCACTTCGGCAGCACATATACTAAATTTGGAAAGATACAGAGAAGAGTAGCATGGCCCCTAAGAAGAAAAAAAAAATTAAAAAAAAAAAAAGATTAGAGGAGAAATAAATCACTTAGAGTCTAAAAAAACAATACAAAAAATATCAATGAAACCAGTATCTCATTCTTTGAAAGGATAAACAAAATTGATGAATCATTAGCCGATCTCTTCAAGAAACAAAGAGAAAGGACCCAAGTAAATAAAATCAGAAACAAAAGGAGTGAAATAACAACTGATACCACAGAAATAGAAAGGATTTTAAGAAAATACTATGAACAAATATTGATATATAACAACAAGCTGGACAATGAGGATGAAATGGAAAAATGCCTAGAAAAATACAATCTCCTAAAACTGAATCAGGAAGAAGCAGAAAACCTGACTGAAATATAAGCAGTAAGAAGAAAAACTCCCCCCAAACAAAACCCTGGGTCTGGACAGCTTCACAGGGTAGTTTTACCAAACATTCAAAGAACTTACATCTATACTCCTCAAACTATTCCAAAAAAATCCAAGAAGGAACACTTCCAAGCTCTTTTTATGAGGCCAGCATTATCCTAATTCTAAAACCAAATAGAGACACTACAAAGAAAGAGAATTACAGGCCAATATCCTTGATGAACACAGATGTTAAAATTCTCAACAAAATATTAGCAAAGCAGATCTAGAAATATATTAAAAAGATCATACACTATAATCAAGTGGGATTCATTCCAGGGATGCCAGGCTGGTATAATAGTCACAAATCAATAAACATGACACATCACATAAACAAACTGAAAGACACAAATCACATGATCATATCAATAGTGTTCCAATTATCTATAGGAACGTATGCACAGGTGACCCAGTTCGTTTCATTTGGATATACCAATACAGACGGTCAAAGCGTACTTACTATTAATTAATATGGCCGAGCTTAACCAGAAACTAAGGAGAGAGAGACACAGGAGATAAACAATGCAAGAAATCACACAGGTTTATTTACCCGAGAGCTGATGGGTTTCAGTCCTTGGCAGGCCACCCGGAGACACTCGCTGACAGAGACACACGGAGGTCGTCAAAACACGCCGGCAAGGAGCTCGGTCTCTTGACTGGAAGAGAGGCCTCTTAACAGTCTAGGCTCAAGGCAGAGCAAGAATGACAGTTTCGCAGTTTGGCAGTTCGAGGGGGGAGGAGAGCATCCTGTCTGCGAAGGGCAGACAAGCGTCTGAACCGCAGCAGATTTGCTCTCCTTAAATCCTTGAAGCTGGGCGTCTTCAGTGTCTCATATCGGGTGCCATACACGGGTGCCGCCCTGTTATCTAGGTATACACTCAGGCGGGAAAGTTGTGACCATGTTCAAAGCTTATCAATCATACGTACATCTTATTTTTGGAATTGTTTACAAGTTTTGATCTAAGAATAAAATGGGTTCTACTTATGCTAACTTATGCTAATACAAAATGGAATCTACTTTATGCTAACTTATGCTAATACAAAATGGAGTTTACTTTATGCTAACTAAACTTATTACTATAACAGGCTTCTTCAGTGTCTCATGTCAGTGTGCTCCGGTGGCCTTCTGGGCTTATCAGGATGCTCACGCAGGGGGTTACAAGGTACTTATCAGGAATTAACATGCTGGGAGTTGTTGGTCAGGAGTTACAAGTTACTTGTCAGGAGTTAGCCTGCAGGGCGTTACAAGTTACTTATCAGGGTCTCTCTCTCTCTCTCTCTCTCACACACACACACACACACACACACACACACACACACATACATACACGTTAAGTTTCACTTCTAAGTAAAGTTTAAAATTCACTCTAATAAAGAAATGAAATTTGATTATACTATCTTATACTCACTAAACTTATTACTGTAACAAATAGATGAAGAAAAAGCATTCTATGAAATCCAACACCCATTTGTGATAACAACTCACAGCAAACTGGAAATAGAGGGGGCATATCTCTAAAGGCCATATATGACACTCAACATCATACTCAACGGGCAAAAATTAAAACCATTTTCCCTGTGATAAGAACAGAAACCAGACAGGGATGCCCGCTTTCACCACTATTATTCAACATACTACTGAAAGTCCTAACCACAGCAATCAGACAAGAAGAAGAAATAAAAGGCATCCAAACTGGAAAGGAGGAAGTAAAACTCTCATTATTTGCAAATGGCATGATATTATACAAAGAAAAACCGAAAGACTTCATCAGTAAACTACTAGATTTAATAAATGAATTGGGCAAAATCAACAGGATACAAAATCAACACCCAGAAGTCAATTGCTTTTTCATACATCAAAAAAGAATTCTCAAAAAGAGAAACTAAATAAACAATCCCATTTACCATTGCAAGAAAAAAAATTAAGATACTTAGGAATAAACTTAACCAAGGAGACAAAAGACCTGTATTCAGAAATCTACAGGACGTTGAAAAAAGAGACAGAAGAAGATATAAACAAGTGAAACAATATACCATGTTCATGGACTGGCAGAATCAACACCATTAAAATGTCCATACTGCTCAAGGCAATCTACAGATTCAATGAAATCCCTATTAAAATACCAAAGGCATATTTCACAGAACCAGAACAAATTTATATGGAATCAAAAAGGTCCTGAATAGCCCTAACCGGTTTGGCTCAGTGGATAAGAGCGTCAGTCTGCGGACTGAAAGGTCACAGGTTCGATTCCGGTCAGGGCATGTACCTTGGTTGCGGCACATCCCCAGTAGGAGGTGTGCAGGAGGCAGTTGATCGATGCTTCTTTCTCATGGATGTTTCTAACTCTCTATCCCTCTCCCTTTCTCTCTGTAAAAAATCAATAAAATATATATATATTTTTAAAAAGGCCATGAATAGCTGCAGGAGGAAAAACATGGTCGGAGAGATCACAATACCTGAGAAGTTTTACTATAAAGTCACGTACTCAAAACAACCTGGTGCTGGCACAAGAACAGGTATATAGATCAACGGAACAGAACAGAGACCCCGAAAACGAATCCAAGCCATTACACTCAATTAATAATTGACAAAGAAGGCAAGAACATCCAGTGGAGTCAAGACAGTCTCTTCAATAAGTGATGCTGGGATAATTGGACAGATATATGTAAAAAAAAGAAAAAAAAAAAAAAGAAACTAGCCCACCAACTTACACCATACACAAGAATAACCTCAAAATGGATAAAAGACTTAAATGTAAGTCATGAAACCATAAAATCCCGGAAGAAACCACAGGCAGCAAAATCTCGGACATCTCTTGTACCAATATGTTTACGGTTACATCTTCCAGGGCAAAGGAAACTAAGGAGAAAAGAAACAAATGGGACTGCATCAAAAGAAAAGCTTCTGCACAGCAAAAGAAACCATTGTGAGAAAATGAAAAGGTAGCCCACTGAAAGGGAGAACATTTCTGGCAATGACACATCTGATAAAGGGTTAATATCCAAAACATAGAAAGAACTGCTACACTTAACAAAAGGAAGACAAATAGTCCAATTAAAAATGGGCAAAGGACCTAAACAGACACTTCTCCCAAGTGGCTAAGAGACATGAAAAAATGCTTGAAGTTACGAATCATCAGAGAGATGCACATTAAAACGACACCTGTCAGAATGGCTACCATGAAAAAAATCAACAAATGAAAAGTGCTGGCAGGATGTGGAGAAAAGGGAACCCCAGTACACTGCTGGTGCAAATGCAGACTGGTGAAGCCATTATGGAACTGTATGGAGTTTCCTCAAAAAAGTAAACATGGAACTGCCATTTGACCCAGTGATCCCACTTAGAGGAATATGTGCTAAGAAACCCAAAACACCAATCAGAAAACATGTATGCACTCCTATGTCATAGCAGCACAATTTATATTAGGTAAGATCTGGTACTAGCCCAAATGCCAATTGGTTGTTGAGTGGATAAAAAAGCCATGGTATGTGTACACATGGGATACTATGCAGCAGTAGAAAAAGAAGGACCTCTTGCCCTTTGAGACAGCATGGAGGGACCTGGAGAATATTATCCTAAGCGAAATAAGCCAGTCAGAGAAAGACAAGTATCACATGATCTTACTCATATGTGGAATCTAATAAACAAAATAAACTGATTAACAAAATAGATCCAGAGACATGTAAGCATGGGACAAACCGTGGAATCTCGGAGGGAAGGTGCTGGTGTGTAGGTGGGTGAGAGGAGAAAAACCAAAGAACTTGTATGCATAACCCATGGACACAGGCAATAGGGTGGTGTAGGCCTAGGGGCGGGTATGTGGTAGGGCTAGTAGGGGTCAATAGGGGAGTGAAGGGGACATATGTAATATTTTCAACAATCGATAAAATAAAAGCCTAACAACCATTACAGCAGAACAACCAGAAGGACTGATGGCTATGATGGCAACTGACCACCAGGTGGCAGATGATCAACACAGAAGCTGCCTCCTGGTGGTTAGTGTGCTGCCACAGGGGAGTGCTGCTCAGCCAGAAGCTGGCCTCACAGCTGGAGAGCACAGCAGCGGTGGTGGGAGCTTCTCTCCCGCCTCTGCGGCATTGCTAAGGAGCAGCGAGCCAAGCGATAAGGAGCAGTGAGCAGGCAGGCGGTAAGGAGCAAGGGGTCCTACAGTGCCAGAGGACGCAGGCCGGGCTGAGCTGCACCCCTCCAAGTGCATGAATTTCGTGCGCTGGTCCTCTAGCCTATATATATAGAAACCTAAGCGACCAAAACACAAAGGACTATTTGAACAGTGGCTATGATGCGCACTGACCACTGGGGGGGGGGGGTGGTGGTGGGGATATGGTCAACACAGGAGCTAACCCCTGGTGATCAGTGTGCTCCCATGGTGGGAGCACTGCTCAGCTGACTGACAGGCCCCAGATGCCAGGCTCATGCCTGGTGAGTGCCACTGCGGCGGCCCAACCCTCTCCGCCTCTGTGGCAGTATGCTACCGAGCAGCGGACAGTGGGGCTGGGATGAGTGGGAGGGGCACAAAACCCGGCTGAGACACAAAATCAACCCAGTAACAAAAGGAAAATATCAGCCATAGCCAGTTTGGCTCAGTAGATAGAGCAGTG